TTGGACCATTTTTTATGATTTAATCCTTTTTTCTATTGCTTACATGTATGACATTATCAACACTTTTTATTTGATTATTATTTAATTTACAAGTTTTCGCATGCATTGTAGCGCTTGTTATCTTTTCAGACATATATTTCTTAATTCTTATATAATAAACATTACAGAAGTCAGGCATCGCTTGCGAGGGAAGGACTCGTCGAAGACACAGAAATTGCCACTCTTTCCAAAGTGGATGTTTTGCTCTCATTTACAATTGAAGGTATTCTTCAAAAATAACATATTTTGGTTTATTTAATGATTTAATTGTTTAAAATGACAAAACTTAATGAATATTCTTGACTCTTGAAGTGGTTGTTATGGAAGTTCGTGGTCTGAGATCATTAGCGCCAACCCGTATAGTCTATTGTACGATGGAGTTGGAGGGCGGAGAGAAGTTACAGACCGATCACGCAGAGGCATCCAAACCATTGTAAACATATAGTTATAAATGTCTTATCATATTTAATACAATGTTTATTGCATTCCTAAGATGGGATACTCAGGGAGATTTCACAACAACACATCCTTTACCTATAGTTAAAGTCAAATTATATGCCGAAAGTCCGGGAATTCTTAGCCTCGATGACAAAGAATTGGGAAAAGTTATTATAAAGCCGACACCACTCACATCAAAAGCCCCGGAATGGTATAAAATGATAGTACCGAAGAACGCACCTGATCAAGAGCTCACCATCAAGATTATCATAAGAGTGGATAAGCCATTAAATATGAAACATTGCGGATATTTGTTGGCTCAGGGAAAGCAAGTGTGGAAGAAGTGGAAGAAACGATACTATATTTTGGTTCAGGTCTCGCAATACACTTTCGCGATGTGTAGCTATCGAGAGAAGAAGTCAGAGCCGACAGAAATGTTACAATTGGATGGATATACTGTCGATTATATCGAACCAATTCCGGGTAATTATAATTAAATGATGATATTCTGCGAGCATTTATAAGAAATGGTGTAAACATATAGACCTAGAAGAGGGACGATTCTTCTTCAATGCTGTGAAAGAAGGCGATAGTGTTGTGTTCGCCTGCGATGACGAGAATGAGTGTCATTTATGGGTTATGGCTATGTATAGGGCCACCGGTCAGGCACACAAACCAACTCCTTTACTTCAAACCCTTTCCAACAAGA